TGATGTTTATTACAATATGCTATAGTAATAAGAAAATCAAAAAAATGGATAAGTGATGAATGAAGTGCCTGATTTTTCTATGATAATAACAATAAGACTTTAGAATTTATGATCAAATAAGAAAAAACAAATAAGATAGTATCACTCTGATGAGATTTGCAAGTGCTATCAACGTTATAAATAATAAAATAAATTGAATATTTATAAGAATAAATATAAAAAAGCAAAAAATTTATTTTAAATTATTAAAAAATAAAATAAAGAAAAAAATGTCACTGACAATGAGTAATACGTAAGAATAACAGAAAAATGAAATAGTAGATGGCAAACATAAAAAAGCAGAGTTAAATTCTAGAGATTAATTGTAAGAAAGCTTCATTTATAAATTGAAAGCATTAAAAACATTTTTGAAAAAAAAATAATATACGTATAATATTGATTTAAAGATACATTGTATGCAAGGTATATCAACATCTGTACATATTTCATTCAAAAACGTTTATAGAACTATACTAACTATTATAATTGAACTGTGAGAAAAATTAAGTTCCATCTATTGCATATATTTTATAAATTTTCGGCTTTTTGTATTATCATCTCATCCTCATTTTTTAAATTAACACATAGAATTCAGAACATTTCAACAATTAAACGGCATTAACTGGGATATTACTATATATATCTATATTAATATATTCTATACTATATTCTAATATATCTATATTAATATATATTTTGTATATTTTAACTATTTTAAAAGCTTCCTATACAATGTAATATGATATTTTCTTTAAGAATCTCGACACAATTAGGCATTGAATTATTTGCAGACAGCAGAGTATATATATATGAAATATTTTTACTATTAATCAACTGAGAGAGTTCATTTTTATGATTTTTACTTTATATTTCGCAATCGATTTATGATACAAGAAAATTTGATATCAAAATATATATAATTTATTATTTAAAGAAATTTATGAAGGAATTTATGTTATGAAAATGCGATAAAAAATTATATAGAATCAGAAAATTTTACAAAGAATGTGTGTTAGATGAATCGAATGATGAAATATAATATTTTGGATAACGTCGGACGGAAAGTCATAAAGAGTGAAATATTTTTGATAAAAAATCTAGAGGCAATGTTAATGAACAAATGTCGAACGGGGAAATAGCAGATAATGAAATAATTCAAGCTTACGAAGATTTATGTGAATCTTATTCATATAAAAAACATATAATTCCCTGGTTAAAAGATTACTTTTTGCCTAAAATTTGTTTTCCCTCATTTTTAGCGAATATGTCTCAGTTTTATTTGAAGCCAAAATTAAAATAATCGATTTCTTTCATGAAATTACTGTAGCTTGCTTTCATCTACTGTTGACTACGAGCTAGCGGAAATTTTTTTCCGGAAAATAAATAAACCTACATACCAGTTATATAAGATTATATCTCTCACATAGTGATTTTACAATCAGAAAACATACTGTGATCGAGATTTATAACTTTTTTCTGATCGAAAATATTCACACAAATGTTTAAAAAAATATCTTTATTTTGTGTGATTTTTAAAATTTTTACTAAGTATATTTATATCAGTCTGGTCGATAAATCTAAATAGTATTTAAAAATTGCGAAAAAAATATTGTGAAGAGGAATCTGTTATAATACGTATATTTTTTATGGATATTCTTATATTGTATATTAATACTGTGTATTAACAGTATTGTGTGTGGGTGCATGTGTGTGTATTTTTATGAGGAGATCATTATATTTAAGAATTCGCGAAAAAGAATTATAGTGCATGTGTAAATGCAAATAGAAAAAAATGGGCATTTACAATGATGTCCTAACATCTATGCAAAATTTACTATATTTAGTATTTTTTAACTCTTGCGATTTTAGCAAACAATAGTGTACAATATAGACACATATCTCAATAACATTAATTTCTGTACATATCGCATGACATATTTTCATACGGTCGTTTTATATTCTACAATATATGGTCACAACTACATGACTATATGAACAGTAAAATGTTTATATTTTTTCTTTTCTTTTAGTGATTTGTATTTATTTTGGATACATCGGTGAGAATAATAATATATTAAGATGAATATAAAGAGAGATGGAAAGAAACAAAATTTAATAGTTAGGCATTTATATTGAAATAGGGGATGATTTTTAATTATATTTCAATACTTGAAGAAATAAATGTAGAAAGCACAAAAATAAGAAAATGTTATTTACATACAGGTCATTTAAATTTTACTTTTTTCCATTTATAATAAATTAAACAAAATGCTCCAAATAATTATTTTTCCTTCTGCTGCGACATACATATTTTTGTTCTCTTTAGGGAATATATTAAATATCGTTCGCGAATAATTTCAAATCTATTTTATATATTTGTCTACAAATTATATTTGTCATTTCAGTAAAAATAAACGCAAAGAGTATCTGTAAAAATTTTATCATATATTCTTTCAAATAAAATTATTGACAAATTAACAGGACAAACAATTCTAGAGTGTTACACTATTTTTGTCATTCATAGTCAAAGAAAGACTATGATAAAAAAATAATAAAAATAATATATTAATAAGCAGTGTTTACTGTTATCTAAATAAAATTATATATAGATGATCATCTAGATAAAATTTTGGCGTCATCTTTATATAGAAAAATATGTATTATTTATATCTGCATCTTAGATGAAAAAAATTTGGTTTAGAGTCATAGCATGTAAAATACTTAATTACTTATCGCTTACTGCTTAGAACTTAAGCGATAAAAACTTATGTATTTTTAAATCCCTTTTATGATTTACATTTTTTTAAAAATTGTGTTGTGTTTATATAAGTGGTCTTAAAAATAATATTATCTGGAAGTTATCTAGATGAATCACCATATAATTTTGTTTTATCTATTCTTATCTAACAATAAGATGAATTTATACATATTTTTATCTCATATTTATCTAGTTAATTTTAAAATCATTTAAACAACACTGTTAATAAGTCAGAATGTGCAACAAAAAAAAAAACTTTGAGCATTTTCTTGAATTTATTATAACTCAAAAAATAAAATTTGAACGATCCATTTCCTTTTCACATTTTGTAACGTGTTTTTACATTTAATTCTTGAAATATTAGCATATAATGTGAGTTATGTATATAAAAAAATATATAGTATATATGAAATTGTATGATATATAATAATAATTGTATGATATACATATATGTATATCGTAAAACACAAGTGTATGTACAACTGCGGGGCTATACCGTTGGTAGCAAATTCTATATATTTTTACATAGTAAAAAACGTCAATACAAAGAGAAAGGAAAATAAACTTACAAAACATTGTAGTTAGAAGAAGACAGAAATTGTGCCTATGCGTGAAAGAGATGTTGTTGGCATCGCTTTACCCGTATCTTGCGAATTATGCAAAGATCTGTCGTAAAACATGTTTATTAAAAAAAAAAAACATATTTTGCTTGCCATTTTCATCCATTTGTATTGGCTGTCACATTCGAAAGTACCCGATTTAGTATGTTTCAACAAATACTGTGATATTGAAGATAATTAGAAATATATGTGACTTTTAAATGTATCGGTCTTATTTAACATTATTTAACATCTTTTACCAAATTCTATGAACAATTATTATAAATAATAATTATTAAAATATATATTGATTATTTTAAGTATAGATTTTTGAATGGGTGTAATGTGTGTACATCGTGTATTTTTAATGCAGCAGCTTTTGATCAATTTAATGGTTTATATATATATATATATATATATATATATATATATATATTGTGTGTGTGTATAAAATGTGTGTATGTATGTAAAATTCGAAGAAATAATACGAACTTATTGTTAGTATACTGTATACATTAAATGACTTTTATAACTTTTTTTATTATATACATCCGTCAATGCATGTTGGAAATTTTATTAATAGTAATAATTATAAATATCTAAACTACAATATTGGAATATAAGTTTTGTTGTACACAATAAGGTCGTTGAGACAAAATAATTAATATAACGAAATGAAGAAATATTTAAACTGTTATAAGTCAATGTAACGCAGTGAAATTGTCATAATTTGTAATTAATATCCTTATAATAAGAATTTTATAGGAATTGATGTATATATATATATTGCTAAACAAACGACTCTTTAATCGTTATATTTATATTTTTAAATATAACGTTTAAGGGAATCAGTTAATAATCTAGATAGCGCAAAAATGTGAAAAGACATCTTAAAAATGTTTAAAGAATAATAAGATCTTTAAGTCGTTTTCTAGATGTCTTTTAGGGACATGTGTATTGTCTGGATAACTTTGAAATACATTGCCAATATCATGGCCCAGAGTAACATTTGAAAGATTTTAATCATCATTCGTTGTTTATTAAAAAAAAGTTATTAACAATTATATGGAATAAAATATTATATAACTGCGCATTTCGTTCGGTCGTTCTCTCCGTGAACACACTATGATGCAATTTATATATATTATTTATCTACTCTTTCTGAACAGTTTAATATCTGAATTCCTAGTGTTGGAATTGTGCTCGAATATCTTATGTACAATTAGAATTCAAAACGAGAAGACATATAATTATTACATTTTTAATATACAGGGTGCATTATTAATTCACCCTCCTTTGGAGAATAAATTGACAAAATCAAAATAAGTCGCAAATAAAAAATAACAGAATTACGTTTGAGCCTTCTTTAAAGAGTTATAATCAAATCGAAAAATTTATATATACAATAAAAAATACACATACAATAAAAAAATTAAAAAAAATTTTTTTACAAAAAGAAATCAATGCCATCAATCTGTAAAAAAAATTTTTTACAATTTTTTTACAAAAATGTTACCTTAAATTTTATAAATATAATCATTTTTTATACAATTTGATTCCTTATAATATTTTGCATAACAAGTTATAAGGATAAAATGGTTCAAAAAAAGAAAACATTAAAAAAAAATGTTTTAGACAAAAGTTGTTCCAATTAATTGGTAGATGATAAAAAATGGGAATTTCCGTTTAAGATTTTAAAGTTGACCTAGAGACTTTCTTCATAACTGCTGTCAAGGTCAAATATATGTATAACTATTTCATGTATTTGTTAAAGCCTTACAACTTTTGTTTAAAACATGTTTATCTATCGCGCTCAGTTTTCAAAATATTCAGCATGTATGGATGGTCTCAGACACCCTGTATATAATATATTCACATATCCATGCTACTGAAAAAAATCTACAAAAGATATCTCGGTGATATTCCCATATTATCTATGTTCACTGAATATCATATAAATATCTATGTCCACTTCTTTACTAAGGATATCCACATAATATTCAAATATTTATATCCACCGAAAATCTATTAAGAATATCCAATGAATGTCCACATGTTCATATCCAGTGAAAATCTATCAAGGATATCCATATCCATTATTGGATATCCATATCCATTGTACATCCATGTCTATCAAAGAGCTATAAAAATCCATGATAACTCTTTTAATCTAATGAATATCCACATATTATCACATATATCTATGTTTATTAGCCCAGATAGACGTATATCAGCAGATTGTCTGCATAACATTTTAAAATTGAAAATGCTTGCATAAACATTAACAGATGCATCCTCATATGACATGAGTATTATCAGCAAGTGAAAGGATCTTCTAATGCTGTGAAAGTTGCGAAAATATGCTGCTTATTTTGTCAGAAATATAATAATTACAGTTATGCATTTATAGTATAGTAAAACATATTGCTATTTTATAAAATATACAAAATATATGTTAACAATATGACATATATAATGCACAATTAAAATTATTAAAATAATTCGTAATTTTATATTGTTCTAATTGCATTATAAAGTATACATGAAATGTTTGCATACTATGTTCAGCATACCTGTTTATCTGGGAGAGGAGTGAGCTACTGCAAGGCACACCAGCTAATCTTATCCTAGAAGAAGTCATATATGTATAATTGTTAGTTGCAAATTACATACTTTATCTATAAAGAATTATGTATTTTTTTACACTAACTGATTCCTCTATAAGGTAAGACCAAAAAATGAATATTTTATAAGATATATCCCAGCAAACACCGATATATAATTGTTACATTGCTATAATAAAACGGAATATAATAGGTAATATAACGTGTACGTTACATGTAACATCCATGTTAGTTGTAATTTCCCACTCATAGATGTAACATTTTAATATAACATATATTACATTGTAGTTATATTGTAATTATATACCAAATAGCACATTGATGTATTGATAAGTCAGTGCTATATTGGGATATAATGACAATATAACTACAATGTAATATATGTAATATTAAAAATGTTACATCTATGAGTGGGAAATTACAACTAACATATACGTTACATGTAACATGCTTAAGTATATAACATTTATATATTGTGTTTGCTGGGATATATATAGTTTATACGAAATTATGTTAATTCGTAAACTATTCACTCTTTGGCTATCTTACCTTTATAACTTTTTATAGTAAATGTTGCAAGGAATCGATTTATATAAAAAAATCAAAGTTCTATTTAAAAAAACAAATGACTATTAAATCTTGAAAATTGCTTTCTAGATTAAACTCAGCAAACACCGATATATAACTGTTACATTGCTATCATAAAATGGAATGTAACAGGTAATATAACGTGTGTGTTACACGTAACATCCATGTTAGTTGTAATTTCCCACTCATAGATGTAACATTTTTAATATAACCCAGATAGCCACAGTAATTATTATGACATCATTTTGATGTCAAAACGCATCATTTTGACATCAAAATGATGTCATAATAATTACTGTGGCTATCTGGGTTATATTAAAAATGTTACATCTATGAGTGGGAAATTACAACTAACATGGATGTTACGTGTAACACACACGTTATATTACCTGTTACATTCCATTTTATGATAGCAATGTAACAGTTATATCCCAGCAAACACATATTATAACAGTTATATAACATTGGAGTCAAAAATTAAAATAACAGCGTTATATTTTTATTATATAATTGTTATGTATTATCTATTTATTATTGCTATATAACATACTAGCAAACGCATATATTATAACAGTTATATAACATTGAAACAAAAAATTAATATAACAGCTGTTATATATTTATTACATAAATTTATATATCATCTGTTTGCCGTTGCTATATAATATATTAGTAAATACCTATTATAACAGTTATATAACATTAGAATAAAAAATTAAGATAACAGCTGTTACATAATATTTATTATATAAAATATATAACTCGTTTACTGTGTTGTTATATAATGTGTACGAAGAATAGTTATATGTTTCTTCATTTGCGTGTTTTGTGCAATGCTGCTAAATTTCGCGGTTTTTGTATACACACGGTCTTTTCCCGCGTGCTAAATGCATAATGTGGTGACAATGAAAAACCAATATTAAAGTAGCGCTGGTGTCGCAGTAATACGTGATCGCCTCTCTAATAAAATATGATTTATGGTTGAATTATTGTTGGCGGGAAAGCCGGCAAAAAATATTGTGCTGTGCCTTCGTGTTGCAAAAGATTCACTTTCTTTACATAAACCAAAGACTGTAAGTATATTTAAAGTACTTATTATAAGACTGTTATATATTTTATATAACTGCGATGTTCGTCATTCCTCTAATATGCTTTTTCTTACAGAGATTAAAACTCTCTCCATTGAAAGATTTGATCGCCACATCTCGAGAGACACTGAGCTATTGCTATTTGATCGTAATTCGTTTATCGTAAGTACACAATTATTGTGGATGAGCTGTGGAATGCTGGATTTATATATTGAAGAAGCCGGAAAGTGTAAATATTATTAAACAACACAATTATTAATATTGCAAAATTTTTTAGGTTATATAGCGATATAGCCATAAAAAATATTGTAATCTGTACGCTATATATATATATATATATATATATATATTTTATATATATATATATATTGTATATATGTTTATTTCATAATTATTATTTGCATATTATGTTCTTTATTAATATTATATATACTTAATAGATTCAATCAGTAAATAATATTTTATTCATCATTAGACATTTGTGAAGTGTCATCGAAGCATCAATTTTTATGGTTTTCATATATTTTATCATATATTTTACAATAAGTCATTGTCAATAAGTGTATTAATTTTTTAAAACTGCTCTTTAAGATATTTTGCATATACAGTTTATATATATATCGCATATTTTATTTAATTTTAATATGCTTATTGCCATATTATCTATTCGCATTTTGTTTCAGATTAATTTGATTATTTGTATGTAAAGTTTACTTGTATTTTATTAATATTTGCATATGATTTTGTATCTTATATAGTTAACTAAGATTTATTAATATTCAAATATTTTATTATTTTTTTCTAACTACTATAACTTAATTTTATAAATTTGTTCTAATTTAAATAATCGATCAAAATTATCAACATGCCAAAAACATATCACCATTTATCAAAAAGACGTAAAAATCAATTGATTTCATGTCATATGTCACAATTACATAAAATTACAACTACAACATCAAATGTTTCCAAAAAACATTTTAAAATTAATTCTGCTAATATAGAAATGGCCTGTAATTCTAACTCAGAGAATACATTTTCAAATGAAACTAATACTCTTCTCAGTGATAACATTTTTGATGCATCCAATAATATCCTTAATCCATCAATGAATAATAGTTTTTCAGCATCTAATAGTTTTGACATTCCTATTGCATCAGATCAAGATAGTTCTTCATTGTCTAATTTTTCTTCCAAATCAATTGATTTTAATAATGAAATCTCGGTACAAAATGTACAAAACTTAAGTTTACAAGAAGATTTGCAAATCTTAGTTTCAAAGCATTGTATTCCTCAAGGTACTGTAGATAAACTTCTTTTTATTTTGCGGAAACATGGTCATAATGATTTACCTGAAACGTGTAGAACTTTAATGAAAACACCACGTAATACTTTTCAAAATATATCTGCTGTTAGTGGTGGAAGATACATTCATTTTGGATTAGCTTCGGGAATAAAATACTCTATATCAAAATATTGTAAAATTATGCCTCGTGAAATAAAAATAAATATTAATATCGATGGTCTACCTTTAAGTAAAAGTTCAAGTAGCCAGTTTTGGCCTATTCTCGCATCAATTGAAATTAAAGATCTTTATACCGAGCCTTTTGCAGTTGGGGTATTTCACGGAATGTCCAAACCGAATAATGTAAATGATTTTCTTCATCCTTTTGTTAATGAAGCACAAATTGTTTTTCGAGATGGTATATTATTAGATAATAATTTCTATTGTAAAATCATATTGAATGCAATTTTATGCGATGCTCCTGCAAAATCATTAATCACATGTACCAAAGGTCACACAGGTTATTTTTCATGTTCAAAATGTTTTCAAGAAGGTGATTTTGTATGTAATCGAGTTGTCTTTCCGGAAATTAATTGCACACTAAGAACAAATGAATCATTTCGTACTCGTAGTCAAGAGGAGCATCATATAGGTGATTCAATTTTAGAAAATCTCCCTATAGATATGATTTCACAAATTCCTTTAGATTACATGCACCTTGTTTGTTTAGGATCGAGGCGTTTATTACAATTTTATGTCAGGGGTAAGAAAGGTGTAAGATTATCCAAAGTTGCAATTGATTCTATTAATAAACATCTACTTGACACAAGAAAATTTATAACTAAAGAATTTGCGAGAATGCCAAAAAGTTTAATATGTATTGATAGTTGGAAAGCTACGGAAGTTCGCCTTTTTTTACTTTATTTGGGTTTAGTTTTGTTAAAGCCATTTTTGTCTAAAGACTATTATAATCATTTTTTATCACTAAGTATAGCTATTCGTATATTTGCAGATCCAAAAAAATGTTTAGTTCTTAACGATTTCGCACATTCCTTGATAACCTGGTTTATTTCAAACTATAGAAATGCTTTTGGACTGGAATATCTTTCACATAATATTCATAATTTAGAACATCTTGCAAATGATGTCAAAACTTTGGGATGTTTAGATGCTTTTAGTTGTTTTAAATTTGAGAATCACATGCAAAAAATTAAAAAGCGAATAAAAAATTGTGGCAAACCATTAGAGGAATATTCTAATCGAATTTTCGAATTAAATCAACTTCCAGTAGAAAAATCATATTTAAAGTCATATCCTATTATTCATTTTAAAAAGACAATTCAAAACACTAATGATATATCTCATTTAGAGTTCAATGGCTTCAATATTTTTACAAAAGAAAATGAAAACTGTTGTTTGTTGAACGATAATTCTTTGGCATTTATTTTAGAAGTAATTTTAGATAGTAATGATGTTCCATACATAAATGTAAAGCGAATTTTATATACCGAACCATTTTTTAACACTCCATGTGATTCTAAAGAACTACTGGGTATACAAACTTTTTTGGAAACAAGTCCTTTTAACATAGAAAAATTGCCGGCAACAAACATAAAAACAAAATGTTTGAAATTAAAACATCTTGAGTTGCAAAACACATTTGTTATAATTCCACTTTTGCATGCATGTACCTAATTATTCTTATTTTGATTTTTTCTTTTAAAGAATTATTCTCATCTTGCAGTAATTTTATGTTCTTTTTAACAGCTTTATCATTACCAAGATTAAATACTTTAGTGTTTTTTTTTAAAGAATGATGAGATAATACTGCAGGTTTTTATGACTATTTTGATTTTCATATATTGCTATGTATGGTTGGTTTTAGCTTTAAGTTGTTTAAAATATTAAATAAATACTTTGATATTACCTATAATTAAGATTATTTTGTACCACGCCTTTTTTCACGGACAATACTTTCGTTTTATAACAAACTTTATATTCTACAAAGAATAATAGCTATGTACATATATACATACACACATATATTAGTATAGAATCTATAGTGTCAAACTCACACACATCCTCGATACCCATCGTTCTACCTGAACATTACGGGTGGTGTGCGAATTATAAGACACTCTGTATTCTGCATATATATTTTTTTCAGAGAAAATGTCCGAAACAAAATTGTACGCAATTGTACAATTTTTAGCTGATGAATCTTTCTCAGAGATTCCAACAAATTGGATTCAACGAAATAATGATGGCTTTATTTGTTGGTGGCCTAACACAAAGAATATCAGTTCGCTTATTAAAAATCGAGATGAACCGGATAAAAAATTATGGTCAAGATTTGATATAACGGTGATAAAATATTGTTGTAAGTAATAATTTTATGAACACTATTTTAATTATATTTTCATTATTTTAATTTTTTTAACGTGTAAATGCATATTTTATTTATATTTTGTGTCAAAAATTAATTTATTATGATTACTATATGCATATTATTACGGATGTTATTGTTATTGTTATTATATTTATATGTACATATGTATTTATTATTATTATTATTTGGGTAGCGTCACTTGCATCTGCTCGCAAATCAGCTGCAGATGCTCAGTATGGTACGACTGATGAAGAAAAATGTGGCCGAGGACAAAGAAAATTAAAGAAAAATGAATATTATTTTTCTGAGAACGATGAAAATGATTATACTGACGATTCGAATGATGAAGAAAGAAACGCGTGTGATGATGATGAAGAAAATTACGATAACGAAAAAAACAAATCGGTTAAACACTTGAAACAGAGTAAATTTTAACATTTACTTTGAATTAAATTTTTTTATATAATTGCTGAATATTTGAGATGCTTATTTATTTTTGTTTGTTATTTTCTTATTATTTTATTTTGTTTGCAGATATTAATCGATCTGTTTTTAATTCTATTCCTGAATACAATTCTCAGCAAAAAGATAATTGTTGCCAATCTATCAATACTTCCAGTACTGATAAAAATTCAAATTGTTTTGTTTCCAAAAATACTGATAATGAAATTTCAGTATCACGCACAAGTAAGTTTATATATCTTACAATTTCTATGAATATAATAAAATGTAAATATTAAATAACCAACAATTGTAATCTGTAGATAACAACAAATGCAGTTCTAATGAAAAACAAAAAAAATTACATATTCTGATAAGTCCGCATCACCCTCTGGTATAATGGATATTGAGAGTATTCCTATCTTAGAACTTCCAGAAATACAAGATATTTATAAAATTCTAGAACGGATAGAAAGTAAGTTATGACAAATTATATCTGCAACGTATTATATGTACAATATTTTAAGAATTTATTAAATATTTAATACTCATATATTTAATACTCTAATATACTTAATATTTAATACTAACACTGTGCGTGTGTGTCAATTATATGGATGATGTTTGCAATTATAAAAATATACAGAAATATATATACATATATATATATATTATATATATGTGCACGCTATACGTTTCTTTTTAATTGTAGCAGGTTTAGATAAAGTTATACGTGCAAACGTTGCTACCAATTTCGAGCTAAAAAGTATCTCGAGAAGATTAAGTACATTGGAGTCTGGTCAACGTAATGATGCAGAATTGACAGAAAATGATATGGTAATGATAATGCCCTTATTGCCACTACAAACAGTCGAATCTATAAAAGAATTCGAAAATTTAATTATATCAAACGAAATTGCTGCATCGCAATTTGTAAGTTATTTTTCATTTGCAATTATTTCTACATCTGTATAGAGATCTATCTATACCATTTACTATATCATTTCCATCTATATCATTTCTATACTAAAAAGGTTCCATATAGAAAAATGAATAAGTTGAATTATATAGAACATTAAAGTGAATGCAATTACCCATTGAATAAGAATCGTTAATTTTTTTAAAAGAAATAGTAAAGAGAATTAATTCATATGTATTATGTAGAACTTTCATTTTTTTAAATATAGAATTATTTTTATAACCTTTTTTATATGCAGTTTTTATACATTTTTCAATAAACATTATTAACTACTTTCTTTTTCTGAATTTATAGTATAGTTGATATATGATATTATCTCTATATTATATATTATTTACATAAATTTATTGTTAATTTCAGAAAAAATTGATCCTAAAAGTTGGAGGCACCACTCCACGAAATAGCGTTCATCGTACTTTAGAACGAATAATCAGCAATAAATGCGCAATAAATTGTTCCTGGAAAGGCGTTCGATTAAATTATAAAATAAGCAATTTAACATTTATTAAGAATATACGTGGTAAATATTTGAAAATTATATTTAACTACTTTTTAAAATTCTTTTTCAATTCTTTTTAGATTACACAAACGTACATTTTTTTTATTAGATACTATTTAATTATTAAATATAATTTTCCTTTCATATACATGCGTATATGAAATTGTGTCAGTATATTAATTAAATTTTAACTTATTTTACAGATATTATATGCTCTGTACATTCAGGTTTAACTGAATCCGAATTCGATATAACTGCTGCGGAATGGTTCAGGTTTGCAAAGCAACGAGCAATACGGGAAGAAAAAAAATCTATAATACATAGTGCTATTTACATTTAATATACTCACACACGTTAAACACACGTTAAATTGCTTTAGTTTAAAAATTCATTTATATATCTTAATTATTTGTGATATCATAAATATGTTTTTGTTTCGTTATTTTCTTATAATATATATATATAGAAAGTTTACATATATATGTTATATATTTTCATTCAGAAATTTTATTTATATTTTATATAGTTTATATACGTATATATAATTATATCATTTATGATAAGAATAAGTTTCTGTGGACGTATATTATAAGAGGATACATATAAAATTGAGTGATTTTAATAATAACCATATAATAATTAGAAAAATAATATATAATTTTTAAGTTTTATTATTTCGTTTACGAAAATTATAAAGTTATAATGTCTAAATAAAATTAATGATCTATATATATCATATATAAATAATAATCTTATAATCACTTTTAAAGCTTCAAAAACAATATAAAAAATTAAGTTTAATATATGTATTAATGCATTAAATTTAATAAAAATCAATTAAATGATATTTTTAATCTTTTATTAATACATAATCTTTTTATAATATTATTTTCAAAGCTTGAAAAGTGATTATGAGGAAAGATTGTTATAAAGATTATTTTACACACACACACACACGCACGCACGCACGCACGCACACACAGCACGCATCTCTCAAAAAGAAAAATTGTAGTTGCTCAACAATTTAATAAATTTTTTTGTTGTATAATATATTGTAATATAAACATATGTATATAGTGCACGATGTCAATATATTAGCTTTTCTGAAAAATTTGCATGTTTTAAAAAATGTAAATTTATAAGTTTTATGTTGACATCGTGTCATTATGTTTATATTCATATTATTCAACAAAAAAATTTATACAAAATTATTGAGTTACTACGATTTTTTGTTGAGAGATGTTGTTGTGTGTGTATGTGTATATAAATTTAATTGTAACAATTATATAAATTAATACATTAAGAACACATAACATACATTAAGTTGTTATATAATATTACATATATATTCAAAAACATTTGAAAATTAGATGTAACATTCATATAACAATTATATAAATATTGAACCAGTAATCTTAATATGTTATATCTTAATTATAAATATTATAGTTATGTTCTTAATGTAACACAATAATATTACATTATATAATTGTTACAATTAAATGTATAACTATTATATAACATTGTTGCTTCCATGAGTGGGAAATTACAAGGAATGAGAGTATTACATGTTGCAATCCTGTAATATTACTTGTTATATTTTGTTACACTGAGTTATGTAACCGTTATAATATAGTTATAAAATATGTTTGCTGGGATATCGGTGTTGCTGAGTTTAATCTAGAAAGCAATTTTCAAGATTTAATAGTCATTGTTTTTTAAATAGAACTTTGATTTTTTATATAAATCGATTCCTTGCAACATTTACTATAAAAAGTTATAAAGGTAAGATAGCCAAAGAGTAATTATTATGACATCATTTTGATGTCAAAATGATGCATTTTGACATCAAAATGATGTCATAATAATTACTGTGGCTATCTGGGAACATATATTACATTGTAGTTATATTGTAATTATATACCAAATAGCACATTGATGTATTGATAAGTCAGTGCTATCTTGGGATATAATGACAATATAACTACAATGTAATATGTTATATTAAAATGCTACATCTATGAGTGGGAAATTACAACTAACATATACGTTACATGTAACATGCTTCATGTATATAACATTTATATACTGTGTTTGCTGGGAAGTTAGTAACAAACTTTCCTGTCAAAATCCTATAACTTTTATACAAAACTTTTTTTTTGTAAAGGGCTGAAGCAGTGAGAATTAAAATAACCTACTCTGTATATTCGTGGATATTTCTAATGGCTATTCAGGATATCTAATAAGATATCTAGTAAATCTAATATATATATATATACCCAGCAAACACAATATATAAATGTTATATACTTAAGCATGTTACATGTAACGTATATGTTAGTTGTAATTTCCCATCATAGATGTAACATTTTTAATATTACATATATTACATTGTAGTTATATTGTCATTATATCCCAAGATAGCACTGACTTATCAATACATCAATGTGCTATTTGGTATATAATTACAATATAACTACAATGTATATATGTTATATTAAATGTTACATTTATGAGTGAGAAATTACAATTAATATGGATGTTACATGTAACGTACACGTTATATTACTGTTATATCCGTTTATTATAGCAAATGTAACAATTATATATGGTGTTTGCGGGTGTAATATATATTATATATATATATATATATATATATATATATAATATATATGTGGTATATATATATATATATATATATATATATATTATTTTCTGTGATATCTAATATTTTCTGTGTAAGAGGAATAATAATAATAATCCATGCTCTTCTTGCATGTACATGATTATAAATATTTTATAACTATAGTTTTCCTTTCTGTCTTTGTTTATCCGCGATATGCAACACTCAGTTTTATCGTATCTCTGTACTCTGTAAGTCCTTGTTCAGATTATAATATTTATAAGTAACATTGCCTAATTTTCTAAGATGACAAAACATGCTTGATATGTAAAATAGAAGCATCTCCTATTTCCAATTGTAGTTTCACATGTAAGTACATATTAATATTTTTAATCTAAAAAATTTAATAAATATTTTTTAAAGGTGTATATTGTTTTTAAATATTTTTATATTTATAAAAGTTATATCAAATATATATTTAATAAGTCATTTTCTCAATTGAATAGATTTTCCAAAATGAATTATATAAGAAATAAAAATGGATAGATGCTCTAAATTTATCAAAAATTCCAAACTTCACAAATTAGTTATCTGCAACAATCACTTTTTGATAAGAAATTTTTTTTATCATAATGAATATAGAACTAGAAAACGAGTACGATCAGAAGCTGTTCTTGAAAACAGAAATTTAAATCAATCTTTGTTAAGGGTCGACAGGTCGGTCGGCCAAACTCCGAATTGATGTTGGAGACCTCGCGCGGGTGACAACGCGAAACTCCGATTTCAGTGTTGCCAACGCCGAGAAACCAATTCTCGCGGTTTTATGTAGTGGTGCATGTCTGTAACGTACATACACCATTGCATTGCTCACGCGGACGCACCGTAGAGAGACAAGGACCGATAATCACGTTGTTCTCCTTGTTCCTCTACCGTGCCGGTATACGCGAGATGCCGCCTGAAATGCTTTCTGGCCTTCCGTAGCAGAAGGCAGTAGCGTAGCAAGGCTAATAAGTACCTACTTTTTGTAAATTTTATATATGCTTATGCACATATGTGCGTATATATATGTATATATATATATTTATATAAGGGATAGGTTGATTATTCTTGATTTCTTTTTGATATTGATGCTATTGTATAATTTGCTCCAAATACTTATAACGTGAAAGAACGTTGAGTAATGTATAATCAATGCAAGGATGTTCAGTATATCATCCAGTAAATTAGATTCAAATATATTAATATCAATTTTTTTATAATATACATAATATATATATATATTGGAATATAGAAAAATGATAAAAAAATATATTTCGGCGATTTTAAAAATTTTTTAATATATTGAAATATTTTTACTACATACACTATATATAAGTGTAAAATAATTTAGAAAATAAATTTAAAAATAAATTTAATAAAAATCTAAATACCAGCTGTGTGCATGTGTGCAATTGATTTATTACTTGAAATTTATTTACGGAATTATTTTGCATTTATATATTTATAGTGTGTGTAGTTGTAAAATAATTAAAATATTTTCAATATCAAATTTTTAAGTTTATCGCCTATATAAAAAATATATTTCTATGATTTTCTATATTCCAATATATTATAAAAAAATTGATATTGATATATTGAACTCAAGTTTTTTTACGTAATTAAATATTCTTGCATTGAGCC